GTGAACCCGGGAGGCGGAGCTTGCAGTGAGCTGAGATCTGGCCACTGCACTCCAGCCTGGGCGACAGAGTGAGACTCTGTCTCAAAAAAAAAAAATTTTTTTTAAAAGACTCAATAATCGAAGTCGGTCCCTGCTGAAATTGGAGTAGTCACCCCATGGGTGTGGCTCTTGCTTACTAACAGCAACAGAAAAGGGTGGAGAGGCCCAGATGTGGGACTGGGCTCCAGGCCCCCTCCTGCTGAGTCAGAGGTGGAGAAGGGTGGTGAAGAGGAGGAGAGTGAGAGATGGAGAGCTGCCACTGACAGGAGTGGCCAGCTCAGTCGCCTTTCAGGCCTGGCCTGAAAAGGGACTGGAGCAGAAGTTGCTGCGGGCATTAAAGGAGCAGACCTCATTCTCCAAGTCAGTCTCTCAACAGCAAGGAAAACAGCAAGGGAGTCCAAGGTCCTCCCCAACACTGCTCTTCATCCTAACCTCCACCAACTCCCTAAGTCTAGCCCTTAGGACAAGACTATTCTGTACAGGGTCGGGTGCTTGAGAACTGATTCACCTGTGTATTATAAGGACACAGCAGGCCCCAGATGACAAACATTTGCAACCCAAAGTTAAATAATAATGACATTGCTACCATTTCATTGAGCACTTCATAATGCCAGGCACACTGCTAAGGGCTTTCTGTCCACTGTCTCATTTAACTCCCGCTGTAATCCTCTGAATTTTCCCCATTGCTATAGTGAGGAAACGGAACATGACCAAGATTAAACAACTCACCCAGAGTCAAACAACTGGAAATAAGTGGAAGTCAAGGTTGGTCTGGATTGAAAGCCTGTTTCCTCAATCACCAGCTCATGCAACTTGGATCTCAAGTTTGACCCAGATAACATCTGTCTCTCCCTATCTCACATCTTGCTACAATTTGCAAAAACCTTGTGGGCTGGGTAGGGAAGTGCACACACCAGTTCTCTCAGTCTCAAAACCAGGATAAGAGGAAGGTCCTGAATCCCCACCTCACTCAGTCTCAAGGAAACTAAGTCATTTGTGTGAGGATTTGCTCAAGTTACATCCCCTTTCTGACCTCAGTTTCCCCATTTGTAAACGAGGTAGCCATTTATAACTGCATAGACCCCTCAGGAAGTTGGGGGTCTTCCCTACTTGCTCGTAGCCGTACTTCTAGACTCACAGCCCAGGGGTTCTGGACCCTCACTCACCACGTACTTGGAGGGCGGGTCCTTGACAACGTTGGCGCTGGTCACTTCGAAGAGCAGCCGCTGGGGTGTCAGGGTGTTCCGGGACTTCTTCCAGAAATCCTGCAGCTGCCGCGCCAGGAGCTGACTGCCCCGCTGCCCATCAGGTTGGGGGCTCCGTTCTGCAGACACATGACCAGTCGTATCAATGGGCCTAGGGCCAGGGTCGACATCAATCACTGCCGTGGCCTCATTCATCCTCCCAATGTGAGGCAGGATTTACCCCCATTTTACAGAAATGGAAACTGAGTGGCAGAGAGGCACCGAGAAGCCAAACACCGTGCCTGGCAGACAGTAGGGGCTAAATTAATAGCTCCACCCTCAAAATATCGCTAATATATCATTTCCATTCGGATCCCAGGCCCTGTACATTTAATGCCCGCAGCCAATTCTGAGATGAGAGTGAGTTCTCCCACTTGACACAAGGGAAAACTTGGCTCAGAGGGGGGTTAAGACTCTCTCAAGGTCACATAACCAAGAGGTGGCCCAGGCTCTTTAAGAAGTGTGGGAGTTTCAGCTGGATCAACTCAGCGCCCTGGATGCTCTGGGAACGCAGCAGGGATGGAGGCCTAATCCAGCCCCAGGGTTCCCGCCTCCGTCCTCCTGCACTCGCCTGCGTCTTCTCCTGACGTCCCATCCCCGAGGGGCAGCGGGTCAGGGCCAGCCTCCGCGTCGTCCTCGTCCTCGTCCTCGTCGTCCTCGTCGTCCTCGGCGCTGGTGAAGCTGAGGGTGCCGCTGAGTCGGGAGGACAGGCCCTCGGCGTCGTCGTCCTCCAGCTCTGAGCTCTCCGGAAACTGCTCGGCCTCTGGGGTGGCCGCC